CCGCCGCACCAACGGGCTCGACTCTCCACCAAACCCTGCAGGCACCAGGGCCACTCACCGCTCTCCCGCTCTCCTGGGGAAACCCCTGTGCTTCGACAGTGACAATCTCGAACTCCGAGGAGGATCCCTGCAAGGGGAGGCAGCCAGGTGAGGTCTCCCCAGGGAACGGCAACCCAGGATGCCCACTGCACAGAGGCAGGGACCACCGGGAGGAGCACAGCAGGGAAGCTGACCCCTCCCTAAAGCTGCCTCCTTTTGCTTTAACTAGATGGAGAGTCTCTCCCTCCGGCCATGCCAGCATCAGCTCTCGCATTCACCAGACTCACACTTGGAGGAGATTTCCGTGCTTCCGTGTCTGGCTGGGCGCTACCCGGGGCAGCCTGTGTGGAGCTGGGATCAGGGCCGACGGCTGCGGAAAGGGGAGAGGACGTAGCCATGAGCCTTTTGGAGAACAGGGCCTCTCCCTGCCTGGCACGGGGATGCAGAGAGCAGACACTCTGCGAGGTCGGGCACCGACGGGTGGTTTCAACCCCAGCTATGGGGACGGGACAGAAACCTCCCTCCAGGAGAAGGGAGGACGGCAGTGGTTTGATACACTCCAGAGATGACAGGGCTGCAAGAAACCTTCATGAAAGACTCCTTCATACCCTCTCCCTTCCCGAGCTCAGAATCCTGAGCCATCAGGTTATCCCTCCCCAGCGAGCCTCATGTCTCCTACCTCCAGTTTCCACCAGGTCCTCCAAGGAAGAGGCCATCAGCATTTTCTTGTCCTTCACAAGGTCCTCTGCCTTCTGCCGCAGCTTGGATGCCTCCACCTGAGACTCCCCCAGCAGCTCTCCTGTTGTGGTCAACAGAAGGATGCTCACCCTCCTTCCCCAAGTGCCTGCCCTGCGGCAGCCCCATCCACCAACACCAAGTCCCCTGCTTGGGTGGAGAAGTGCCCAGCGTGGTCCTTCTTCATCCAGAAAGAACTTTTCTTGGCCAAATCCAACGGCAAAGCTGTATCAGTGGCACACTGGCTGCACAGTCCCCCATGCTGACACACAGGGGACTGGTTACGGGAGGCAGCAGGGCAACACCGCATCTCTCAGGTCTCCTTCGCTTCCCAGAAGAGCCAAATTTCAGCTTAGGTGGTGGACCTAGGGATCCAGCCTGCTCGCTTTGAGGTCTGGCACCAGCAATACAATCCTCTCCCCACCCCGGGCAGCTGCTCCCACATCAGTGGGTCCCGGTCCCAGGTAGGGGCACGGCGATACGACAGGAATCACGAGGCAGGTGGAAATTCAGCTGCAGAAGCGGGACCCGAAAGTGGAAGCTGGGTCACGAGACCGAAAACAAAACTGGGGGTGGGTGGGGGAAGGCAGCCGAGGAGGAGAAAGGGGGTGGCGCGACTCAGCTGGGGCATTTCAATGCCAGCACGTCCCTCCCACCGTGGGGAGCATCAAAAGCCAGGGTCTTTGAGCAGCACCTGGGAAAAGCCCCTGACCCAACAGGGTTTGTGGGAGGTGAGGGCTTTCGTCAAAGACAGAACAGATCCTGGCACCTGTGACCTGCCACTGCAGGACTCCAGGAAGCTGACCTTGCTCCATCACTTGCCTTTTTTTCAGCCATTTATCCCACTGTAAAGCACCCCAGGAGTTCAGCAAAAGCCTTGCTCCCTCTGCACCCCTGTGTGAAAAAGCCCAGACATCCTGCTCAACGCCCAGGACAGGGAGAGCTTTACTACTGCGCCCCAGTGCCAAGACCCCCAGCTTCTTATAGCACCCTTCCTAAATAGAGCAAGAAACACCCAGGCTCGGTGGGCACAGGCTGAGCTGCCCCAAAGGCAAACCTCATCCTCCAGCCACGCAGCAGTTACCGATAGACTTGATCCCCTGCATCTTCTCCTTCAGCCGAGTATTCTCCTCCACCAGCCGCTCAAAGGCTGTGGATCCATTCTCCTCCGTCCCCCCACCGGGGTCGTAGATGCGGTAGGGTCCTCTCCCTTCCATGCCCGCCATTCAGTTGCCTACCTCCCAGATGGGCATCCCTGCAAGGCAACGGAGCACAGCGTCACGTTCCTCTGGCCCCGGATAGCGCCGCGGTCCCCTGGTCCCAAACATGCAGGGGTCCAGGGTGCCACACCAACAGAGGCAGGGCTGCCTCACTGCTCGCCGGCTGGAGAAGTGTCCCAGGTGAAGGCGCTTCCCCCTCCAGCCCTGCTTGGGGAGAACATGCTGGGGTGACTCACGGCCATGAGAAGTGTCACGCGAGGAGGCATCACCGGCAGCCCCACCCGAGGCCGGTTCTCACCCCTGCAGGGCGCGGGAATCCCCAAGGAGGTCGCAGCCGCTTGTCCCTGCATGCCGGTGGGGATGGAGACCCCAGTCCAGGAGCATCCACCCACACCAGCGCGGACCCGGGCACCATCACTGAAGCATCCCGCTCACCGCAAGATATTTTTGGGGGGCAAGAAAGGGTTGCGGGGGGCTGTTTGGGGAGGGGCAGTGTCTGCAGCTGCAAAAGCCTTAACCCACAGCCAGTGGACTGTACAGGCAGCACCAGGGCGCAGTAGACAAGCCCCAGCAGCCAGACAGGGACCCGCTCTGCTCTCCGGCTCAGCCAGGGAAACCCGCTGCCAACAGCATGACTTCCCAAATCGGGACACGGGGAACAGCCAGGCACGCACCAGGCTGGGAGCAAAGTACAAGGAGAGGAAACACCCGCTCGCAGCGTGCTATTTGCTTTTTTAATTCCTTGCATTCGTGGGTGGCCCATGGCCTCCCTCTTGCTGAGGTCTGGCCTGGGGATGGCCAGGCAGCATCCCAGCCCCGGCTCTCACCCGTCTCCTGGGGACGATAAAGCAGCTGCTGTGAATTACGGCCCAACTTATAAAAAAATACCACCCCCTGCCTCGCCAGCTCGCTACAAAGCTGGGCAGCATGGCAGCTGAGACAGCCCTGGGGG